GTACAAATGACCTGCAACTACTCCAGTTAAGAGGTTTCTCAGGTTAGAGATCTGCGACCTACAGTGAGTTGTCATAGAAACTGATACGAACGTTTCAGCTCAAACATCACTTTAAAATAATGGCTTCATTTGTCATCTCATGCCAGGTGGCAGCTCCTTTGAATCCAAGATCTAGAGTCTGTCCCTACACCAGAATTCTTCTGGCAGCCCTGGGTGACAGGCAGAGCGTGTTTCTTCTGCAGTTGCTGCAGTACAGGTACAGGGATATTCTCAGAGCAGGAGGATGGACTGGAAAAGCACTGGAGCGAACTAAAGGAACTGTCTGAACAGCATCTCTGGCTTGTGACTAGCAAGCAAGCATGGCCACTGTGGAAGTGGGAAGCTGGAACATGTTCCTGCCTATCTGTGCCTTTCATTTTCCATGCACCATCTCCAAGAACGATGCCCATTTCCATGGAACAATTTTTTCTGCATGGCCACTGTGGAAGTGGGAAGCTGGAACATGTTCCTGCCTATCTGCCTTTCATTTTCCATGCACCATCTGCAAGAACGATGCCCATTTCCATAGAACAATTTTTTCAGAGCTCTCTCTGCATCCATCTTATGCTGCAAGGAAATTGTAAAGCCTTTGTTGTAACTTGTGAAAGAGGGATGTTGCAGAGAGTCTGACAGCGTGTGCTTCCCCTGCCATAGCTTGCTCCTTTCACTCACATGTTCTCCCTTCAGAAGCCCACTGGATGCTGTCTCCAAAGGCTGACTTCTTGTGCTGCTGTTGAGGAGCTCTGGGAGTCCATGGCCACTATGGGTCAGGGTCACACTGACTTCTTCTGCAGTCCTGCATTTCTCTTTCTCATTCCTTCTCAGCTTATGCAGGGCTCAGTTAGAGGGTTTGCCGTGTTTGTCAGAAAAAAAGCTGCTTTCTTCTCTTCTGGTTTTCCAGCCATGTGATAAAGCCCCTACAGCTTTAGAGCCTTTAGAACAAGGAAAGGGTAATGAGTCCTCTGTTCACCTGCAGAGAGAGGAGTTGATGCAGTCGTGTAAGACATGGAGAGCCAGAGAGATCAGCTGGAATGGAACCAGATTAAATGCATTTACTCTGCACTGTTCCATTAATGCCAAGTAATTACCACATACAGTGGGATTTTTGTTTTGTTTTGTTTCATTTTGGCACAAGAGAATTCTCTTCAAATGTGAATGCATTAGACAGTCCGGTCTTCTGGGCTCTTAGGTAAATTATAACAAGCCTTCCCTATTCCCATATGTTTCTCTCCCTTCCCCCTGGCATTTGAAAAGCTGGCAGTACAAGGATGGGAAATGTAAATACAGAGAGGAAGTCTCTTTCCCAGTGGCAGTGATTCTGGTTCTGCCGCTCTGGTGCAAACTCCTGGCCTGACTCCTATCCCCAAGACGCTGCCTTGGCCAATTCAAAGTGGCCCAAAGATGAGTATCAGAGAAATGCTCCAGCTAGAGGAAAATTTTCACTGGGGCATATAATTCTCTTGTGGGTGACTGTGCAAGTACTGCCTGATCCCACTGGCACCCTGATCTCTGAAAGCAGTGCTGCCAAAATACAAAATTTGTGCTCAGGCTGCCATGAAATTCCTAAGCTAACCATCCATACTGGGCACTAGCGACTGTCTTGAAAAAGGGATGAAGAAGGGTCAGAGAGACACAAAACTGCAGCATCAAAACTATTCTTGTATTTTGGGAGCCAGGCAGCCATGAATATAAGAATTCTCCCCTCTGCTCAGTGAAGTGATAATTTCTATCTTGAAGAACTGATAAGTTTTCTTGGTTTTATTTTGATGAGTGTCTGGAGGAAAAGAAAAGAAAATAAACCTATTAAGGTCTGTTGCTCCTCCAGTTTTACTTTCACACATACTATCCCAGTCCCACAAATCCCCATATCCCAGCTTAAGGCTTTCAAAGTGCTCACTGGGAGCGGGGTCAGCACCTCTGCCTAAAGACCTCCATCAGACTGATCATTCATGGAAAAGCATTGTGCAGCACAGTGAGGTGAGGCTTACTCCATGTTTGGAATGTGGATGGTGGTACCCTCTTTTTTCTCTCTTTCTTGCAGTGACTTTCAAAAAAATCCATAATATACATGCCAACTTATAGGAACCTCATTTCCCCACTTGATTCTCCCTAAAAACTCAGGCCTGAAGCTGTGTTGTGGATCCCAGCTGATGGGAAGACAGGATGACACACAGAGAAGGAGAGAAAGGGAGAAGGAGACAAGGAGGGAGAAGGAGACTCCATGATTGAGTATCATCCTGATTTTCAAAAGTGTTGTCCTTTCCCTTTCACTGTCTCTTAGTGGTCGGGAAGTGGGGCTCATTCAAGATTCACATACGTTGTGCTCCAGCTGGGGCCTGTGGCAGATCTGCCAAGGCTGGAAACGTCAGCCATGGAAAGGGAACATTTTTGCATTTCGTTTAGCTGCACCATGTTCCTGAAATAAGTTCCTGAGTATTTTGTTTTGAATGTACATCTGGGCTTGTGGACATCCTGTGCTTAGGTCATGCTCCACCTTGGTCATTCCTGCTCTCTAAATGAGCCACACAATTTGAGACTAAGCAAAGTATTCAATTTTTAGGCACAAAAGTCACATGTCAGCAGTATGTCTGCTATAGACTGTATACATGAATCATACAATATCATGCAGTGCACAAGCAGTGGAACAGGCACAGGCAGCATCACCCTCAACTTCTATACCTTGTATGTGTTCAGTGGTCAGCCAGGAGCAGTTGCCATGACTGAAAGACAACTATTGTTGCTGAAAAACTCTGCACAGCAGGACAAACACTCAGCTTGAGCTGTGGGAAGGTTTCTTGTTTCATAGCATCAAACAAGCAGCACTCATTTTACAGGGGCTGTAACCTGCCCCTGAGCACTGGTCCTCAGACAGGGAAGTGCAGCACACCTCCCCAGCTGGATAAGGTCTTCCCATTAATGAAAGCACTTGTAAGATGAGAACTGTCCCAAATGTCTGCTGGAGGAAGGATGAAATCACACACTACTGTCTCGTTAGCATCCAGCTTTCCTCACTTCCCTTAGAACCATGGACTCTTCACTCCATTTCACTGTTGGAGCTGGAATATGTTAAACTTTGGCAGGTGTTGATGATCCTTGATGATGACATTCAGGGGTCCTTTTCCTGGCCATTAACTGGTCATTTGCTGCCTTTGGAACCTTTCCTTGTCATTCATCTCCTGCATTTTTTGTCAACTAGTTATGACTATCTTGATGGTTATTATAGAACTGATAAGTCTTCTGTCTCTGTTATCTCAAACCTTTAATTTCTATGAGAAATACAGATTGGATAAAGTACCTTCCACATTTTTGGATTTAAATGTGCACAAATCAGAATCACAATTATTATCCACAAGCTTGTTTTCTCATTGTTAATAAGGCCATTGTAACACACAGGGTTCATCCTATTTGTGGATCCCATATGCAAGATTGGAGACTAAATTTTAAAAAGAAAGAGAGAACAAATCATAGGTCTCAGTGGGGTGAATGACCAGTAACTGCTTTGAATGTGTGCTGTTTTGTTGGGAGTCTCCTTTGGAAATAATTGTTACAGTCCCCAGGTATTCTATTACAGTGTGCTCTGGTTTTACATAGAATTTACCTGCATTATTTACAAGTTGTCTCTAACCGATCATTCCTCTTCTCTTCAGATCAGAGGATCTAATTTCCAGGGCCTTATTATGCTGCTCATGTTGCTCTGAGAGGGAAGAGACTGTCCACCTTTACATTTTTGTACGGGTAGAATTACACTTGCATGACGAGTGTTAGAGGCATGTTTTAAAAAGTGAAGATGAAATGGCACAAAGATAGGCCTGCCTTCCTTGGTTGGTGTCACTTAACTATTCTGACACCTGGTTCTTTTGCTGAGTTCAGTTTCTGGTCAGAGGAACTGCTTTTAGTTGTAAGTTTTTGCAAGTGGGTGTTGTTTGCCTGACACCCAGTGTTGTTGGATGTCCATTTCCCACAAGTTTGTGCTCTGCCTATCCATGGAAGCTGGCGGTCCTGCCTGTTTGGGTGCTGCTATTTAGACCTTTTATTATCAGAGTAATTTTGCCTACTCATAAGCAAAACCAAGAAAAGAGCTTTTTCTTTGGTCAGCCTGAAGTGCTTCTCTCATCTCTGTGACTTTCCAAGAGCTGCAAATGAAAAGGGCACATTCCTCACAAATTTTCTGCAAAATTTTTGTCTTTGGATATAAAATCAAGTGAATGTTATAGTTGTACAGAATCTCCTGAGTACGTAAATTAATGGGTGCACAGTGGTTTTGGCTGTGAGCAGTGGAAATTAATAAATTTGTCAATATATGATTTGGAGCAGGAGTTGCCATCATGAAGATCGTGGTTGCCTGGCTCTTGCCATGTTGACAGATAATAAGAGAATCAAGTTTTGATGGAAAGGAGGGAATCCTGTCTCTCCTTCTTGCTGCTGACACCCTCAGTTAAAAGCACTGCTGAGTCGAAGGGATTTCTCCATCAGAGCTAATTACCCAAAATTATTTCAAAGTCTGATACGGAGCTTTTTGCAGTAGCATTTTATATCAAGAAGGTTTTTCCTCTTTATATCACTCATCTTGTTGACAGAATATATTGATGGTCTTTACTCCTACCTTAAGGAGCTGTGATATGATAGAATATACCAGCCCTAAATCCAGGCTATAATTCTCCTCCTTCTATTTCCCTCAGTTTCCCCCTCATGTTGTGTTGGTTTCACTGGAAGTTGAAGATGTTGCTTTCCTGTTAGGATACCACAGGCCTTGGATTCATCATGAGAGGGCACCTGGGGTATGGTCTAGAATACTGCAAGGATTGGATCTTGGATACATGTGTTCTCCTGTCTGGGACAGGAAAACAAATTAAATGAATTAAAGTAGAACAGGTTGGATGCTATTCTGGATAAAATACAAGTCATGGAGTGGGAAAGCTGTTATGGATAATTTAATTTACATTTTGACCCTTTCTTTACAGCCACAGGGACTTAAAACCAGAAAACCTACTGCTGGATGAAAAGAACAACATCCGGATAGCAGACTTCGGGATGGCATCGCTGCAGGTTGGGGACAGCTTGTTAGAAACCAGTTGTGGGTGAGTGTCTCAAAGCATATTACGAAACTGAGGGGCCAATTCCAGACATAGACGTTGTCTGCCTGCAGTCCTACACACTGCACTGGTGTTTCCCAGCAAGACAATAAATTTGTATTTACGTAGTATAAAACAAACGTACGGACGTAGTGTAGAAGAAAGCTGAAAGAGGGGAGATTTAGTGCTTTACAGTGCAAAGCAGGTCACTGCAGGTGTCACATATGGATATAAAAATCAAGGCTTTCAGGTTTGGCTTCACCTGCGTATGCTGGTGTGTTTGCATTTACTGGCCATATAATTTTTGAGAACTGAAAGCAGTGGTTGACTGTTTCAAAAAGAGGTTTTGGAAAAATATTAAGGGGTAGAAAAATGTTCTTAAATGGAATTTGCATGTCCTGTGTAGGCTGTCTGCTGCATGCAGCTGTTCGTATTCATGCTCAGCACTGCTTCTGCCAGGTCTCATGGAGGAGTGACAGGGAGGAAGCCGCGTCCTTTGCAATGACAGGCAGGGCATGAATGCAGGTACAAAGAAGCCTGCCTGGAGGAGTATTGTAGGGGTAGTCTAAAGACATTTCCGTGCAAATTCAGTTGCCTTGAGGTAGCACTGGACCATGCTCCCTGATTCCCAGTGCCAAGGTACTGTGCAGGGGCTGTGGCACTGAGCTGTAGCAAGGGCAGCAGCTGCATTGAGCTGCTGCAGCCTGGCACCGCTACACCAGCTTTTAGCTGTGTTAATTTGTTTTAACAGCAAGCACAGAAACCAGACAGTACCAGCAGATTTCCACTTCCTCCCATGCAGACTGATTTTTTTTGGCCATTGGTAGTGTGATTCTGATGACTTCAACCCAGGCCCATCCTCAACTGTTACACTTCATGGGTTTTTTTGGTGTCTTCTCTGGACCAAGGCAGTTCAAGGTAGACATGGAGCCATTGTGGTTCCCTCTAAAGCCCAGCCACTGCCTCTCAGTCCCAGCTTTTGCCCACCAAGTAATGAATAATGGATAGCAAACATATTTGAAGTTCATTACATGATAGAATGCTGGTTGGTGAGTAAACCCGAGACCCACCAGTTCTCTCCTGTCCATGTCATGTCAAGATCTGAGTTCTTAGCAGAACAGATGAAAAGCAAGGAGCTGTGATGCCAAGGTCTACTACAAGGCCCTGCACTTGGGTAGGGAGACACTCAGTATCATCAATGCAGGCTGAGGAATTAAAGGATTCAGAGCAGTGCTGCTGAGAAGGGCTTGGGGGGTACTGATGGATGAAAGGCTGGATGTGACCCAGCAATGTACACTTGCAGCCCAGAAAGCCAAACGTGTCCTGGATGCATCCAAAACAGCATGGCCAGCAGGGAGAGGGAGAGGATGCTGCCTCTCTGCTCTGCTTTGCTCTGCTCTGGTGAGACCTGCACTGCATCCAGCTTTGGGGGATCCATAGCATAAGAAGGATATGAATCTCTTAGAGTGGGCCCAGAGGAGGCCATGAAGCTGGTTGCAGGGCTGTAACATCTTCCCTGAGGACAGACTGATAGAGTTGGGGTTATTCAGTCTGGAGAGAAAAGGCTCCAGGAGACCTTGTTGCAAATTTTCAGTACTGAAAGGGGGACTATAAAAAAGATGAGGACAGACTTTATAAGCAGGACCTGTTGTGGTAGGACAAGGGATAGTTGTTTTAAACTAAAAAAGGGTCAATGTGGATTAGATACAAGGAAGAAGTATTTTACATTGAGGGTAGTAAAACACTTAACAGGTTTTCCAGAGAGATGGTAGATTGTTTAGATGGTAGATGGTTTAGATGGTAGAATGTTTCCCATCCCTGGAAACATTCAAGGTCTGGTTGGATGGGGCTCTGAGAAACTTGATCTAGTTGAATATATCCCTGCTTATTGCAGGGGCATTGGATTAGTTAAGTTTTAAAGATCCCTTCCAATCCAGACCATTCTGTGATCTGCACACCTCTTGCTTGCAGCTTCTTTCAGACTTCCCCTCTAGATCATAAAATGCAGTCCTCCCTGCAGTTGCCACAAAGCCTCTATACTCTCTAGAGAAAATTGTTCCACTTCCTTCCAAGAGAAAAGAAAAAAAAAAAAAAGAGGAGGTATAAAAGCCAACCCAGCCTCAATTGCCTTGTCGGATTTTTCATACTCCTTGGGAACTTCTCGGTAGGGTTCTTGTTCTTGTTAGCACCGAGCTCTGTTTTCCGTGTCTGGAGTCTCAAAGGGAGGCTTCCTTCCCAGAAGCTGTGCTGGAATTCAAACCTGCATGCTTCAAGCAGATCCAGCCCCCACATTGTGGCCTTAAAATGCACTAATAAAGAAATCAATGGAACGGAAGAGATGTGCCTGTAATAAACAGAACACAGCAGCAACGCTATGATCTCCTGCCTTGCAGATGCATTTTAAGTGTGTTGCCAATCACTAGACCTCCATGTGAGCTATTACACCACTTCATTAATTCTCCTGGCATGCAGCCCAGCATGGCTGATACTGGTGTCGTGTGATCTCTTTGGTTTTGGGGGTGAAGGAAGGAAGGAAGGAATATATGACAATACGCCAAACTGTTCACAGAGAAAGGTAATCCAGTTATGACTCCCTTTCCCTTGGAGCGCACGCAGTAACCAGTCTCAGAGCTTTGCAAGGCAACAGTTTTACCTACCCATGTAGTTGGTACTTTCAGCCAGCATGAAAAGGAACAAAACAGAGTGAATCATGGCTGAGATATTGAGCTTTAATGAGATGCTCCTCCGTGCACCCATAAGTTAATTTTGAGAATGGCTTTTCCATACTGTGAACACTGATAATGAGATGAAACTGTAACATTTCCATTGACAGTCATGCAGGGAGTCTCCAGGTATTTCTGTCAGTCAGAGTGGGAGGCTCAGATGGGGTTGAGCTGTGTGATACAGCTAACTTTGTCAGTTCAGCGAAGCAGGGAGACTGCAGTCAAAAATTCTTTGCTATCGCAAGTGAACTGCTAAATTTAGTCCAAAGTTTGGGTAGCCTTCAGGTCACTGCAGAGTCTTGACTGGCATCATGAAGAGTAGCCTCATGTAGCCTGAGGAGTGATGTAATTCATATCTCAGAGTCACTGTTTTCTAGGGGGTACTCCTTAGGCCTGCGTGGTTTTCTGTAGCACTGATAGCACTGACAGACTACCTGGAGGACACAATAAAAGTTCTATCCAGATGTGTTTGTGTAGGATGAGGCAAGGATGGACTTGCTGTTTCAGTGACATAATTTGTTATTGGCAGACTGCACATTCAGCCTTGATTGTAACGAGTCCACATTATAGAAACGTGTATTGTGTGAATCCTGCATGTGCACAGTGCAGAGGACTATGCTGTAGTTCTTTTTAGTGTTTTTAGACCCTTAAGGGGAAGAGGAGCTGTGTGTAGGCTCTGCAGGACTATTTCTGCTATGGCAGAAATTGCGCTGCAAGGCAGTCTTATGGAGAGATGGTCCTTGAAATGCCAGAATAACACAGTGAGTCTCTTCATCCCTTCAGAAGCAGAGAGGGTCTGTCAGCTAACAGCAGACAAAGAAGGAAGAGAAAGATGTGATAGGGTGCTGTTTCTATTATTTTAGATTTCTTCAGCTCTTCTTCCTCTTTACCCATCCAGGCAGTGGCATGCAGAGACACTCCCCATCTCTTTCTCAGTGATTCTTCCTGGCGTGCTGCTTTGCAGTGTTTCAGAATTGGAGAGGTTGTCCAATCCATCCTGTGTTGTCACTAGGCAAGAAGAGTGAGTGCCTTTTGGTTAAACCTCAGGTCTCAGGTTATCTGAGCTTGATTTCTGTCTCTGCTGAAGGCATTCACGGTGGTCTAGGACAAGATGCATTGCCCTTCTCTGCTTCAGTTCTCCATCTTAGCAAGTTGTTGGTGTATCAGCAGACCTGTGGTGAAGAGATAATTCAGAGGGCAGATACACCTCCTTGTCCAAGCACCCTTTCTGATTTTAATTACATGACATGATGCTGCACATATTCTTTTCCCCTTATAATAAACATGTACATATATCTAAAACTTAAGCAGTCATTCTTAGGGTTGCAAATTTAAGCTCTTCAATTTGGAAATGCCAGAATTAGTGCTTTTTACCCCATCTCATCAATAGCTTCCATTTCCAGCACTCCATTCCTATCTCCTTCCTGATTTGTACCACAGTCTAGCTGATTTGTCCCATTCATTTCTGCTCCATATTTGGCCCAAATTCCAGATTGTTTTCTCTTTTTTACTAGGTTCCAGCTCTAGTTTTCATTACCTGGTTGTGTGAGTCAATTGCTGCCAGTCCTAGATCTACTTCATAAGTTTTGCACTCAGTTTGTTTTTAGTTTTGGCACCATGTGGTAACCCCACCCACAGCAGCTCAGAGTTTCAGATAAAAAAAATTACTCTGTGAAGTGTTGCCACTGCAGGTAGGATTTTGATCCTAATGCTCTAGAGAGTTTCTGCTAGTAAATGCAAATTGCAGTTTTCTAGTGAAATGCAATATTTCTATGATATGATTTCTAGAGAATGCAAATAAGTACTCAGGTTTTCCCTTTGCAGGGGAGGACCCTAGAAATTTTTCTCTTTTTTTTAATATGGAAAAGCATTTATTTAAAATTAGACTTAGATGGTGGAAGTGCTTCAGCCCAATCATAGAATGCATGCATACAAATACATGAAACCAGTCTGAGACAGACAAAAAGCAAGGAAAATTGTTATTAAATTAATAGTAAGTTTCAAGGAACTTAAAATGAGGATTATAATGGGAAATACCAGACAACCTTATTAATGACCATTGGTACCAGCATCACCTGTAATATATCACAAGGTATGTTAAAAGAGCTTGGATTCTGCAAAATCAATCCCTGATAATTTAAGATGTGCTTTTCTTCAGCTTGACAGTGTAGCATTTACTCAGCCTGTGCACATTAGGATATGCCCATTAAGTACAAGCTTGTACAGGTTTTTTTCAACAAATCTTTGCCTCATTTGATGATTGGATGGTGTGTTTTTGTGAGT